TTGATTTGGAATCGAGTTGTGTTAAACTCCATTTGAGGGAAAACTCTTCCAATATTTGTTTCTCTATTTACAAGACTCAAACTCCAGATCTTATTTAAAAGGAACAAAACTTTTTTCACTTAGATCAATAGGTGATTAATTCTTAGCAAGGTTGTAGTTGCTGAGAATCTCATACTTATTAAAATTGTAAAATATTATTTTTAAAAATATTAATTTTATTTAGTTTAATTAATTAAAAATAGTTAATAATTAATAATTAATTATTAATTAATAAAATAATTAATATTTATTATTTAATAAATTAAAATTAATTTATAAACAAATATTTTTAGATATTATAATTAATTGTTAAACAAAAAAATGTAAATTAATAAAAAATTAAATAAATTATGTGACCATACACGACATCCAATTCTCTAGGGCAACGCCAATTCAAATGTTTTAGGAGATTAAGAGTGCTGAATTGTGAATGCAGCTTAATCCCAATTTCCAAACAAAACAATAGAAACAAGTCCCCTGCTTTGGAATTTTTAAAAATTTCAATATCTGGGTGGTTATTTTATTTTAATTTTTTTTTTTAACATAAAAAGGTTAGCTATCTTTAGTTAACTTATATTAATTGATGAAGCAAGTTTTTAAATAGAATAATGCATATAAATCCTGATATTTATAAAAAAATTAGAGTTTTAATTTTAAAACCATTACCCTCTAATAAATATTTTGAAAATTTAACTATTGAATCTAATAATCTATTAATATAGATTATGCATGTAAATTTTTAAGTTAATCTATCATTTACAACTATTTGATTAAGAAACTATGTTTTTTAATATACATTTAACAATATTAAATTCTTTGTAATCAATAAATTCATTAGATATATTTAATTAATCTAAAAATTAATATACATAATCTATATCAATAAATCATTAAATTTAATAGTTAAAATTTGAAAATATTTATTAAAGAGTGATACTTTTAAAGTTGAAAGCCTAATTTTTTTTTAAAAAAAAATAAAAGTTGGAGCTAATATTTGCTATTCTTATTTCTTATAAAAAAAATATAAAAATTAAAGTAAGAGATTCGGCGTTTTATAAAAGTTGTTTTGAACTTTAAAAAAATTAATGAAG